CTTCTGAATTGATAGTGGAACAACAACAACAAACTGGGAATCAACAATCTAACCAACTTCAATATGGTGAATTTAGGCAAGAAATGGAAGAGAAGGAAAGACGCCACTGTCTCGCGCTTAATGGATTACCAGAAAGTAAACAAGCCGAATCAATGGAGAAGGCTAAGGATGATCAACAACGAGTTTTACAGGTTTTAAATGAATGTAAGGTTTCAAGTGCTTTGCCAAGTGGGATTTTTCGTATGGGGAAAATTAATCAAAATAAACCTCGCCCAATTAAAATTAAATTTCCTTGTTCATATGCTGTTCGGGAGGCACTCTCAGGCAAAAAATTTCTAAAAAATCAATACAAACATTTACATTTGCGAGAGTCCCTTTCCAAAACAGAACTTGCCAATCGATCTATTCTTATTAAAGAGTGTCATGAAAAACGTAAGGCGCATCCCGGTGCCGACTTCATTATATATGCAGGTATGGTAATTTTGCGGGAGGAGATCCCAATTTTTCGCACAACCATAAATACAAATCCACACTCAAAAAACTTAATCTCCTCCCACTAACTTGTCAGCCAATTTATAAAACAGCCCAAAAAACTCCGAATTGCGTACAAATAATCAATAAGAACTGTAAAAATAAAAAGAAAAATTTTAAAAAATCCAAAAATATAAAATGCATTTGCTTTAACGCTCGTAGTTTATTAAATAAAATGAATGAATTTCGGTCATTGCTAAGCACCCATATATACCAAATCATAGTCGTTAGCGAATCCTGGCTTCATAAAGAAATTTGTGATAGTTTTATTCTACATACATTAGATTATGAGATTTTAAGATCAGACAGACCATCCAAAAAAGGTGGCGGCGTTTGCGTTCTAATTCATAAGGCATTACCGTTCAAACAGTCCAAAATTTTAAAAACAAATAGTTTCAACCTAATATCATTCGACTTGTTATTACCGCAACTCCAAACAATAAGAGTTATTGCTGTTTACAGGCCCCCTGGGTTTCAAAAATCACAAGATTTTTCTAATTTCTTGGAAAATATATTATACTGCTGCACCACTGAAAATGCGTGTATAATGTTGGGAGATTTTAATTTTCCTGGAATAGAATGGGAACAATTCTTACCCGTTTCACACACCACTCAGATTGAAAACGAATTTTGTGAGTTTACTAATAGCCAACAGTTAATACAACTTGTCTCTCAAGGTACTAGGGGAAAAAATATATTAGATCTTGTTTTTACTAACACACACAACTTAATACACAAGTTAGAAATAGCACCCCCTTTCTCAACATCGGATCATAACAGTATAATTTTTGAACTAGAACAAATAATAACTTATGAACCAACAAAATATATCAAGGATTTTAAAAAAGCGGACTATAAAACAATTAACCAATACCTAGCTTCAATTGATTGGATAACCATATTTGGGCACTCCAATGATATAAACATCAACTATAAAAATTTTTCTGACATAATTAACGAAACTATAAACTTTTTTATACCCTGTTTAACTATAGAAAATAAACTAAAAGGATTACCGACTCATATTACAAAATTATTAGACACTCAAGAGGGTTTATGGAAACGAAACATTCATAAAACGAATAGGCCAAACTATTTGAAGGTAACTCATCTAATAAGGAAACAGATGCTGAAATTTCGGAAAAATAAAGAAAAAAGAATAATACCCCACCCAAAAAAGAAATTCGCATATGTTGGCGCTTTTCTTAAATCAAAAAATTTGAAATACTCAACAATGGTAGACGATCACAATAACATAATATTCACAAATAAACAGAAAGTTAACATACTTGCATCTCATTTCAGTTCAGTCTTTAAAAACAGTGGGACTAACACACAAATTACAAACAAAACTTCCCCACTATTGAATACAATAGATTACATGGATTTTTCAGTTTACGATATATTTAATTATTTAACAAAATTAGATAATAAGAATAACACATCACCTGATAATATACCTAATATCTTTCTTAAAAACTGTGCACAAACATTGGCATATCCACTCTTAAGTTTATTCTCTCTATCATTAATGACAAAAAAGGTACCTGATCTCTGGAAAGAAAGTATAATCGTTCCAATTCAAAAGATTCCAAAAGCTAAAAAATCTAACGACTTTAGACCAATCTCTCTCCTCTGCTCAACTGCCAAAATTTTAGAAAAAATATTAGCCTCTAAATTAGTTGAACATGCCCGGAAAAACAGAATTTTTCCACAAGAGCAACATGGATACCATATGGGTAGATCCGTAACAACCCAACTTCTAGAAGTTATGGATGATCTTACAATGGCATTAGAAAATAAAAAATCCGTAGATATAATCTACTTCGATCTGTCAAAAGCATTTGACACCATATCCCACGAAAGATTATTAAGTAAATTAAAATCATTAAATATTCCAGATACTCTAACTAAATGGCTCAAAGATTATTTAAGCAATAGAACTTTCTCTGTAAAAATCCATGAATCCTTTTCTGAAAAAAGGCTCATAAAAAGCGGAGTACCGCAAGGCTCCCTACTTGGTCCCATATTGTTTTTATATTATATACACGATTTAACTGAATTCTGTTATACAGAAAATGTAACTGTTAAACTATATGTAGATGATATTAAGGCGTATTACATTTTCAAAGACAATCCAGTCAATTCAAACCCTTTGCAAGAATTTATTGAAAAATTTTCCGAATACACAGAAATAAACGGATTGGATATAGCTATAAAGAAATGTAATATATTACATCTAGGCACTAAAAATCCTCGCACCATTTATACAATAGAAGATACACACATAACAGAAATTGGTAGAAATCAAACTGTAAGGGATTTGGGTATTTTCTTTGACCATGAGTTAAAATTCCATAATCATATCGACATTATTTGTAATAAAGCTAGGAGAATTAGTTATACAATTCTTAGGTCCTTAAAATCTAATGATGAAAGATTCTTAATTAATATGTTCACCACATATGTAAGAAGTATATTGGAATTTAGTTCTCCTGTCTGGAATCCTTACTATAAAAAATACATTAACAAAATAGAAAAGATTCAAAAAGATTTCGTAAGGATGGTATATAACCGCAAGCATAATATAAAACTTAATGAACAAATCCCTAACTACTCTGAACTCCTCAGATTATATCATATAGATTCTTTAGAGAATAGAAGAATTATAACAGATCTTAAAATCTTTCACAAGCATTGCATAGGATTAAGCCCAATAAATATAAATAACCCCTATTTCATCATTCCATCTAAAACAAGGGGGGACGAAAACAAAATATCACATAAAGCATGCACCTCAATTACTAGACATAATTCATTTTTTGTAAGGACTATAAGGTATTATAATAAACTACCAGCATACTTTAGAAAATTAGATTACAAAAATTTCGCAAAAAACATAACACATATTAATTTTTCCCGCAATTCGGAGGCTGAATTAAGTTAAATTTAAATTTATACTTATAATTTTTTTTATATACTATTTATTTACATTCTTTTTGTTTTTTAATTTATTGACATGATTTTGTTTTTATATATATTTTTTTTACTTGATTTCGTTTTTTATTGTTTTTTGACTTGACTCGCGCCATCAAGGCGTAAATAAATAAATAAATAAATAAATAAATAAAACAATATCTGATCGGAACTATTATTATTGTTTCAATTTTTTATTCATTTGATCTTACTATTATTCGAATCCAAGCTGGTAGTCGGTTACGGTTCAATGCAGCACATACGCTTAATTTAAGATCTATTTTGAATATTCATTTATAAAACTAAAGTTAAATTAAAGCTTAATTTACATTCCTCAATTCTCTTACATTCGAGAATTTAATTAGCTATCTCATTATTTTCAAACTAATTTACAATGCTTTCCACTGAGCATCCTGAGAACGTTTTAATCGTCCATGACTATTAATTATGTATTCAATCGTAGAAAGTAGAATTTGCTTTGAGGTAGGATGTGGAAGCATTGATGACTCCATTGTTTCTAGTCTAAAATTTTAATATTCAAAATATATTTCCCATCTTTTCCAGAAGATTTCATTTTTTCAATGCAATACTTACTTAAAAGTGTCACTAAGATTTCCAATAACTCCATCTCGCAGTTCTATTGCTCTACTTGTTTCTAGAAATAAAATTATAACATCCCAAATATGTTCTAATCTTCGAGCCTCAATTTTAACATGTTGGCTGCTCTTAACATGCTGCTTGTTATTTGAAAATATATCTTAAGTTATGAAAATAAGGTATTGTTGTTTTCAATTTATTGTTTTCAATTTATTTATTGTTTTCAACCTATTTGTTTTCAATTTATATGAAAAATCAAACTTATTCTTGAAGGGAGTAACTTGTTTCCTTGATTTACTGGCACCACGTAAGGTTGAAGACCATGTTCAAAAAGTGCGCGCAGTGCTGGGCATAGCTTCTTCCTAACTGAACTTACGATTGCCTCTTGATCACATTCCATAGTAACCTAATGAAATTAATATATTTCTTGATTCAAGAGACTATGTATTATAAAACTTTGTTAAGTTCGTCTACGCTAAGTTCTGCACGCTCTTCACGGTCGACACTCAGAATCTGATGTTTGCGTATTACCTGTATCACCTATGATTTAATTTAGTTAATCACAAATATCGGAACAAATTACCTTATCAACTGCCAATTCTAACTCTGCTCGTTGATCTCCATAGTGATTGCAAAGAGCTGAACGTTTCAGCTCGTTTTTCTCAAAATGTCCTTGGGACTTTGGCCTAATTAAAATGAATATAGTTGATGCAATTCTCATACCAAAGGTAGCGAGCCAAATTAATGATTGAGTTATTTGTCCCATGATTATTGTTAGTTTTTGCTGGTTGTGCTTCTATGTTAGGTGATGAATTTGAACCAGTGGCTGTTCCAGAACTAATATCTTAAATATTATTCGCATTAGTGAATCGTGTGAAAATGACGACTATACATATTTAAATATTATGTATAATAAATAATATGCCTGGACAGGAGAGAGTCACTGCTTCCCGCTGTAACAACTGTACATATTGTTCCAGATCGGATATCTACATGTGTTTAAAATAAAATCTCCAACTTTCATAACTTTTTAAATAATTTAATCCTATTACTAGATTGACTAACCTGTGTACTAAGTTGTTTCACCAATTGGTCCTGAAATATTTTCTTAATGTCATACTAATTCAACCTTATTTTCAAACCTTTTCAAGCAATCCTCGTTCCGCTTCATCCAATTCTGCATCCAGTTTTTTACGAAATTCATTTTCGTCAGCATCTGCATCAGGTCCAGCCAATTTAACTCGAAGACGCATCTTTTCACGTAGCCGCTCTAATATCTGATAATTTAATATTGACGGATCTCCCAGCACCCTTATAAATTAGAATCCCTATCAATGAAAATATATACTAACCAGAGTTTGCCTTGCGCGTAATTCGCTAAGTGGTAAATCACCCTCACGTAGATGTCCATTCCGCCAAGCGAAATTTTCCAGCTCATCTGTCATTGCCATTTATTTGGAAATATTCAGAATTTTTCAATTACACTCACCAAGTTGTATCCGCAGCTCTTCAACAAGTTGACTCATATTAGCAGCATTATCATTTGTCATAACATTTACGTTGTTTTCTTCTAAATCCACAACATTTAGAGATGAATTAGAATTATCACTGATTTGTTGTAGTCTGAGATTTCGGTTATTAGTGCAACTTGTAGAAGCAAATTGTTGAAGTTGATTTAGCATTCCCTTAACGTTGTATAACATTAGATAATCAGTTAATATTTAAAACTATCATTCTTCAGTTAAATGTTTTACTAAATATAAAAAAATTTACCTCACGTTGTTCAGCTGGCGCAGAAGCAATTTGCTGTATCCGAAATTGTACTTGTGCGAATTTTGTGCTCAAAGACAACAATGATTCGCTCAATTGTTGTTGTTCAGCTTCTAGTTCTCGAATCCTTGCTGATATGCTTCCGCTGCTAAATTTTGCTATTTTTATATTTCCTTACAACGCCCCGGGTTGTTTAAATTTTGATTCATTAAACTTTATATCTTACTCCATTTGTGAGCTGCTTCTGCTCATATCCTCTGAAAGCATATCAGCATTGTCGTTGCATTTCATATATTCTAAATATATTTCTTTTAATCTAGGTTTAATTTTTAGCATTTTGCTTCTAAATTTAACGTTTTGTTTATATTGTAAATCTAACCGTTTGTCTCTGTAAAAGAAACATCCGAGCTAGAAGGGTTTTGCTTACTAGTGATGTTCAGTAGAGGCGCTTCTTTGTTAATATTCACAATGTCCATTATACAGATGTACCAGATTTTTATACAAATATTTTTTTGGATTATAATTTATAAATAAAGTCCATTTTGTCTTAAAATAAGTTTTTAATTAAGGTTATTTCATTACCTTTGTTCTAACATTTCGAAATCGTATAATCTCCAATGTGAGTAAACTTTAAAGAAATGCCACATATTTTTAAGCCATACATTTTGTATTCCTTTTAAACACGCTAGCTGGCATATATTGATTTTGCTTAAGCTAGTATGCATAGTATGCTTGTACATTTAGTTGTTTTTAGTCTTATGTGTACATACTACAGCTGGATTTTAGTTTATTAATATTAACCTATATAATATGGAAATAATTCTTATATCCAAAAAATCTAAAACGACTATATTAAATAAATTATATTTTATTACAATTATTCATAAATAAAAACCGAGAGTAAAAATATTTCGACTGATACTAGTCATCTATTTTTGAGCTTTTTCAATTTCGCTAATCTGGATAGCGTACCCACCAAAAGAACGCGCTGATTCGATACCCGAGTCTTGATCATCACAATATCTTGTTGTTCTCATCGAGGGATAAGGAGGCAATGAGTGGTCCCTCTGTTCATTAGGTAAAGTCGTATCGGGCAATGAGGGCCTACGATTCCATCGAAAGCACCTTCTGTCAACTCTCTCCACTAAATTGATGAAAAATTTATATTTCTATCCTGTTTTATATTCCAACCATGCGCATTTTTTTGAGTTGAATCCAAAAATGATGGTTTTATTAGGCAATTGCGTATCTTGACAGTTCCTAGAATTGAGCGATGAGATGTTAGAATGTATATACTAACCAGCACTTTCATCTTGGCTTCCAGTTTCATCTGAACAATTTTCTTCAGTCCGTTGCGGATCATATAAGCGTACGAACTATTTGATAAAACAGTAAACATAAGCATTTTTATATTTACCTTCTCTTCTGATTGACAGCTCTGATATGGAGGAAATACGGCTCGGCAAACACCGTCGCCTAAAATAATTGTAAATGAATTCAAAAATAGTGAATACCGATGATAGGCATTGTTTCATATGTTGACGTGGAACTACATGCCCCAGCCCCACTATTTGATGAATAGACTCCAGTTGAAGCTGTAGCCTGTGATGTTTTTTTGTAAATTTTTGTAATAAATATGCTAAAAAGATACTCTTGATATCGTGCTAGTAGGTTGAGCATCATATGCACGACTACTCATTGATGGGGTGCCAGAAACTGAGCGCTCATTAATCAAACGATTTCTCATTGGGGGAATCGGTTCTGCAACAAGATCATTTTTCTAAAGATATGAAAATAAATTTCAAAATTTAAATTTATTTCCTTATGAAATTGTTTGAAACTTTTAAACATACTTTAAGTAAATTCTCAAATTTGCAGACCAAATCTGCGAATTTTGGACGCTGCTCAGACTCTGTATTCCAACAGCGGAGCATCAGCTCATAAATCTCATCTTGAATACCGATTGGGGGATCAAGCCGATCACCAGCAACGACAAGCCTCATTACCTGTAATATAATTTTTAGTAAGGGAAACCTCGTTTCTCAGGCATCATTGTAGTTATAATATTATAAATATTATTTCAAATAGTTAAAACCAAGTCTTTTTAATAACCTCTAAATTATCACGTCCTGGATATGGAATGTAACCAAGCGAAAAGATTTCCCATAGCAAAACTCCATAAGCCCAAACATCAGTTTTTGAAGTGAACAACCCATCCTGTAATAAAACTTTATAGAATAAGCTATGTATAATGACTACAAAATAAAGCAAAAAACACTATTCTCATTAAAACACTATTCTCCTTATTCTCATTTAAAAATATTGCGAATTATATTATTAAAAAAAGTTCACCAAAAAAGCTTCAGGTGGCATCCATCGAACTGGGAGAAAAGCCTTCCCTCCTTTTCGATAGTAGTCATTCCTACAATTAAATGAATCTCTATTAAATTCGATAAAAACCTGTAAATATCCCTAGCCATTCCAAAATCCGCGATCTTAACAATTCTATTGCCCACTTTAGATGTAAGTAAACAATTTCTTGCTGCAATATCTCTGTGAACAAATCGCGTTTCTTCTAGATGTTGACAGCCACGTGCCTTAAAGTCAAATCCATGAAAGATAAAGTTAAATTATTTTTACTATATCTAAAGAAAATCCCAAAAGATCGCCAGTTCTCAACATTGTTGAATCCAAGGCTTCGGAGTTGCTTACATGGTCCTAATTGCGAAAATAATTGACTTAAATAGTGATAAACTAAGTTAACCTGCTGTCTTGGCCGATTCTCGCGTAAGAAATTTTTCAGATCACCACCTTCTAGAAACTCAAGCACAATTAACTAAAATAAAAAGGTAAAATAAATTCGAGTATGATCTCTAAAAATTAGTAGCGGTTATTATTGTAACAGAAGACAAATGTTTATTGAAACTTAATTTTGGTTGCTGCTCGAACGAGACACCAAAAAAAGTGACTATATTCTGATGTTTGAACTGACTAAAAACAAAATAATATTACGCACGATTTTAGAAAAAATAACCTTAACAAGCGAGCTTCTGTTTCAAAATCATCGCCAAAATCACGTGCTGACTCCAATGGTAAGGATTTTATAGCAACTTTGACTGCTGTTATTTTCTCATTATATTTGTTATCTTTTGATGAATTGTCATCGATAAAGGAACTATCACCTTCTCCCATCAATAACCAACCTTCAAATACTTCACCAAAAGCTCCATGGCCAATTATCCTAGCAATAAGTAGAAATAACAAACAATTCACTAATTAAATAATACATACTTGTCTAATTTAAGCGAGTGTCTAGGAATCTGCTTTAGTGGAGTTAAACTCAATGATTCGTAAATTGGATTACTGAAAACAAAAATTATGGATACACGCATAAATTTATATACCCGCTTATGCCAAAGTTGGTATCACTATACAAGCAATTGTCGTTGTTGCTAGCGACAGGTCTATTATCTTTACCAGATACAATAGCAATTAGCTCATGCACATCAGCAGATGGGCTCGGACTGAGTTTCTTTCCACAACCACGTGCACGATATATTATTTTGAAACAGCATATCAGCGATAGAAACATTGAGATAACAAGCAGACAAGCTATTGAAAATTTAAAACGGTCAATTTCTTTTTAATGAATAAAGTTATATTAAATAAAATTTAATACCAGCTATAAATCTTTGAACGGTAACTGATAGTTGGCCAAAAATATTGTAAAGTATTGGAGAATCTAAAAGTTTGAAGATAAAATTAAGATAAATTGTAGTTAAAAATACTACCGATCTGACAGATACTTGAACTATTAGGCTCTATAACACTCCCATCAGGGCATATACATTTTGGTTGTGATATAGATCCATTTCTTTGTTCGGAAAGTGTCGTTATTGTTCCAAATGTACAATTTGACCTAATTAAATACTCAAATGATTTCAAAACAGAATAAAATCTACCCCGATGGGCAATCACGTTGTGGGCAGGCTATAATGGAAGCAAAAGCACGGTTTGGATTACTTTTTGTTAAAATTAAATGATCGCCTATGATATCATTTGTACGGATAACTGCACTTGTTCCTGGCAAACCAGGCCCAACTAATCCACCAGAACCACCTAACAACAATATTCGTTAATAAAATAGTAAATTAAAATTGACCTTGATAACCGCCACCACCCCCTCCACCTGCGTTGCAGGAAGCTCTATTTAATTTGTTTAAATTAAATCATTTGCATATAAAAAATTTACCCTCCTCCACCTTTTCCGCCAGGTAAATTCCATCTGCTCCCTGGTGGACAATGACGCTGCTCCAGAAGAATTGACTTATCAAACCGTGTATGCTGTTGATCACTTATATGATCAGAAATTGAAAGTCCATTTGAGGCTGATAGAATCGTTGGTAGTTGTCCGGGTTTGTCAATCCTATTCAATCACATTAAATTTATAACTCTTGATTATGACATACTGGATTGGATTTAAAGGGAAAGCACCACCGCCACCAGCAGCTATAACAACAGGATTGCTTCCAATAAATAATATAGTAGCACCGCCACCGCTACAGCCTGGAAAACTCAATGAGTCACTGATTACGCTGTTCAGATCGTCGGCTGTTAATGAACAAAGCTTCTCACTCTAAG